CCAGCAGCTCGGCCGCAGGGCCAGCGCGCACAAAGTACACGTTGGTGTTCCACCCACGCACCACACTCGACCAAGCGTACGGGGCAAAAGAGACAAGGTCATAGCGAGGCAAGACCGAACGCACGTTCATCACGGGAGTGTCACCGAACTGTGCCAGAAGAGTGAGGATGTCCTGTTCCTTCTGCATCACGTCCTCCAGGACGGTGGCAAAGTCAGCCACTTTCGCTTCCTTTTCGACAATCTCAACCCGAACGTCGCCCGCAGCCGTGGAGCTGTGCGCCCTCAGCGAGGCGTACACGCCGGCGTAAAAGGCGTTAGACATGGCGTTGAATAGGCCAAGGTCGTTTCGCTTCAGCAGCAGCACCTTTACTGGGGTGCCAGGAGCTACTGCTTCGGCCGCTGCGCTGTGCGGAGGCAACGGAAGCAGCAGCAGCAGAAGGACGAGGAGAAGGAGGAGGCACGGCGACGCCGCAAAGGGCCGCGAGCCAAGGTGCGCACTGCACCTACGCCGCCTCCAGCACACCGCCATACTCACCGCTGCCTTGCGATTGTCTTGCTGTGTAGCCTTTAGGTTCCTACAGCAGAGAGGAAGAAAGAAGAGGAGGGCACGGTGCACAGGAAGCAGCGGAGGAGAGAAGTGGGCGCACATGGTCACAAATGAGGCCACCAGCGCACAAGCAAGCGACGGACGCAAGGAGACAATACTCGTAGGCAAATGGAGCTCTGCGGAACAAAGCGACGACAGCGCCTGTCCTTCTCCATTGGCCGGTGCCAAGCGGAGCACGCACTGCCACGCGCCGTGCACTTTCGTCACGGCGGGTCATCAGTGGAGACCAGTGGCTGTGGAGCATAACGCAGAGGACTGCGAGCGTTCACAGCTCCGCGTCCTGTTCTCCCCCATCTCCACACGGCCCAAGGTCCTGCCTTCCATTTGTTGCTCCGCCACCACCTGGAAGCTCCGGGCTGCTGCGTAGGGTGTGTTCTTCCACATCGGGCTCCTCCCCGTCTTGTCCCTCCGCCCAAACGCGCGCAGAACCGGGCCGATGCATGGCTGCAGTCTGGCCGTGTCGCAGCGCGCGGATTGGCTCGCGCCTACCGCAGCGCCGAAAGCCGCATGCTGGGCAGCGGAGGCCGACAATTGGCCTCCCCGCGGGGCCGGGTGTGCCCTCTCGGCGACCGTGCCCTTCGCCCTCACGGAAGCGGCGGCAACGAGGCCCCAGTGGGGCACCGCGTGCCGCCCACTCTTTCCGCAGAGGGGAGGGGTGAACACCTGTTCTTGTTTTCGATTTTGGGAAGGGGGTTGTCCCGGGAGGTTTGGTCCGCCTCCTTTTGCGGCCCAAGTTTGCCTGTGCGGGTGCGCTGCATCATCGCCACGCCTGGGCGCCGCATCCCTCCCGTCGTCGTCAGCGCTCGTGCCGCGTAAAGCGGGGGAATGCCCTCGGCGCCGCCCACCGCCGGGTCACGGCACGCGGGGGAGTTGAAGTGGCGTCCTGCCATTCGCCTCTGGATTTTTTTTTTCGTCTTTGCCGCGACGCTGCGCTCGCGTGCGGGGAGAGCCCCTTCTCCGCAAAAGCCCACGCCCGCAGCACCCGCGCTGAAGCGGCGAGTCCCCCGCCGGTTCCCCGTCCCAGCAGGGCTTTTTCTTGGGGGCGCGGGCTCCCCCTGCGCGCGGAGGGCTCCGGGAAATGGCTCCGGAGTGGGGCGCGGCCGCCGGCTCGATCCCGCGGCAGGGTTGGAAACTGCCAGGGGGAACTTCTCTCCCCGCAGCGCTTTACCGCTTGCGTCGCGACGACCCAGTGGTAGTGGGAGGGCAAAGGGTCTCCAGGCGAGGCCGTTTGCAGGCCGGCAGGGGCAATTTCCACGAGGGATGCCGTCGGGTCCCGCAACGCGGCCCACGGCCGGGGTCGGGCCGCAGTGGGCAAACGCGTTCCCCCGTCCAACGCGCGGGCGTCCTCCACGCAACGACCCCAATGGGGCCCCCACGCCGGGCGGAGCTCAAGCGAAGAGGCAGCTGGGCCGCCGCCCCTGCGAGCGTGACGGCCGTGCTGCGGCGAG